AAATGAGAGGAAAGAGTGGCACAGCATGTTTGTATGGGATCATCTAGCATAATTTTGGTGGCAGGATGGTAGAGTTGGACTGTGGAAATATGTGATTTTGTCTTTTGTTTTTTTTTCAAATAGTCAAAATTTATATGAGAAGAAGTTGGTTGATGTTGATGTCTCAAAGGAAGATCAAAAAACCCTGGTAAAATTGTCAGAGAAAAAAGGAAGCTGAACATGTACGTTTCAAAGGTGCAACATGGGTGTCGATTAATTTGAGTTACTGACAATGGAAGGAATAGGTGTATTTGACGAGTCATCTTAACTTCATTAATATGTATTTATCCTTTTCTTAGATCTGAATTTTAATATGTATTTTCTGTCTTGATTGTTCATTTTGGTTGCTATTTGAAACCACTTGCTTTTGTTTTATGCAGTTTATTGTGACTTGATGTTATCTTGACTATTATGTTGTTAGTGGCAATCAAATCCCTCTTTTATATCAATTTTAGTGTAACTCTATCAATGAATTTTGCATGTAAATTTATTCAAATTGTATTATGTTCAATGCTTCAGTTTTTTGGGATGAATATTTGGGCGTATGTTGTGCGTTGGAGGAAGAATTTTTTATGCTTAAGTATTGGGTATTGAAATTTCCCAGCATTATGTTGAATTGAAAAAAAAACCCAAAAGGGGAAGGGTGGCAGGGGAAGCATCTAGCTTTTGGTAAAGTAGTTTTTTGCTCATTGAAGCTTAATAGAATATGGTTATACGTCAATTGGGCTTTAGAATTAATTGGAGCAGTTGGCTGGATTATTTGTTAAACAAATGAGTTATGTTTAGTGCAAGTAGGATTCAAATTGATGGATAAAGAAAACATTTTTCAGGTTATAATATGTCCTATAATTTGTTTAAGACTCCCTCCCTCTCTCTCTCTCTCTCTCTCTCTCTCTCTCATATGCTTTGTGAATATAAACATGCAATGCGTCGTGTACTTTATTTTTGGAATTGTATGAGTTCACCTCATTAATGATTGTCAATTTTTTTGCAGTCATGGCAGGTGCAGCACTAGAGGGATCTCAGTTTGATGTTCATCAATTTGATACCAAAATGAATGAGTTGTAAGAACTTTTCTCTAGTATTAGTTATTTGCAAGAACCAAACATTGGGTTTATGAGGTATGATTTTTCTCCTTGCTTCTAATAAATATTGTCGACCACCATATTCATTAATTGAAAATTGAGACAACTCTTTTCTACATTGATGCCTTGTTTATCCCCTCTTACAAGTTACAATGAGGAGTTGTTCATCTTCACTGTCTATGTTTGCATTGTCTACATGAAGACATACTAGCTTTATTGGGATGCTTTATTAATCTATTTCTTAGTTTTGAGAGCTGGGTTCACCTTTTTACCTTTATTTTCTTGCTTGCATTTCAGATACACCCAAGAGAAGAAAGAACATGTGAAAAACAATAAAAATGTTGAATGTCAAAAGAATGCATAGTTTCAAGCAATACAACTTAGCCCCTTTATACTTTCTTTTGTGGAAGATGATTTAAATTGTTCTACCTAGACATTGTTATATTTGAGTTAGGTTTTGTGACAATAACCTTTGCAATTGTTGGCCCGTAGAAAGAGAGAGTTTGAAGAACAATTTGTTTAGAAATTATGCATGTTGAACAAGTATGTCTGTTTTTTGTTAGTGTGAATACTTTATCTATATTGATTGTAAGTGATATTCATGGTGATACTAACATTATTCTGGAAATTTAGCTTTATTGTTGTTTTCTTGTTTGCATATTTAGTTAATTAGAACTTCTATAATGATGTTATGAAGTCTTTTCATGCTTGCTTTCCAAATTACAGATTAAGCCCATATTTAAGAAAAAAAAAAAGGAAAATATTTTTGGATGCAACAATAAGATAAGCAGATTCCATTTACCTCAATTAAAAACTTGGGTTGTATTCAGGTTTAAAATCCTTCTTTGGAATGGGGACATATATGATATTTTTTTATAGGAATTGTTTTTTTTTTTTTTGGTTTCAAATCTTCCTAAGACATTGAATATCTTTCAGTCAATCCTTTTCTTAACCACTAGATGAAACCCAAGCCGATTATCTCTTTTAATATCCACTATGTATGAACTTACATTGTGTAGAATATAATTATGATAATTTGAATAATAGATTGATTTTATTTACCTCCTTTAGGAACTTACGTTGTATAGAGGTATGTGCAAGGATAAAAAAAAAATTTCAAAACGGCCAACACATGTCTATCTTCAAGGACGCTGAAACGAATAAGTGATTGAATTACATTCCAATATTTTGAGATGTTTTGAAATATTTTTGCATATTTTTGCATGTTTTTACCAATGTTTGAGACTATTTTGAGGTGTTTTAATATATTTCGATATATGTTTCGGAATTTTTTTGAACTACATTTTTAAAATTTTTATTTGTTTTTATTCTGTTCTTGGAATATTTTTGCCTTGTAGGTGACATAAACAAATGCATTGAAATAAAATTTTGATATTTGGTTATGTGGTTGTGGAGAAATTTATTTGCATCCTACAGTTACATTTCGCTTTTGCTCAAAATATGTGGTTTATTTTGAATATAATGTTATGCTCGAGATATATTAAAATTTAAAATTGGAATAATTATTATATTGATTTCAGAGCAAAAAAGACTTAATCATGTGTCAAATTAGATATATTGAAGTAAAATTTAGTTTCTTAAACAAATGAATATTTGTTGTAGCAAATCGTAGGATTGTGTATAAGAAGGTAGACTATCATGTGTACTAAGCACTCTTCTATCTCTTTATTTTTGTTTCAATTTTTGTCATTTAACAAACACTACGTCTTCAAGCACATATTCTTTCGCCTATTTTTTTTTTTTTGCTCAAATACTCACATTCTAAACAAAAAATTTAAAACTAAAAATCGAAATTACAAGTCGAATTGGTCCATGTACAACGCACGTGTGCACCAACTAGTATAATAAAAATAATTGAGTGTTTGTAATCATTATTTGTCAAAAATTTAAGTGATGTGGGAGTGTAGACTTGACATTTTAAATTGCAGAAGGGTATTTTAGGTATTATAATAAATTTTATTGATGATGTCACCGTTTCTCATTACTTGTTTTTAACCTCCGTCAGAAGAAAGGGGTGTATGTGTCATACATTTTAAAATGTTAATAGGTCTCATTGTACTTTTTCAAATGTGAGGAGACCAATGTGTAATTAAAAACAATGTCAACGGTGTGAGTGTAATTTACTTACTATTTATAATAATAAAATAAAGTCTCTTGTGCTTAAACTCACCATTTAGAAAAACACAATTTTTTTAACCATAATAATTTATTTAAATTTAAATTTTTAATCTTTTAATTATGGTAACTCAGTTAAATTTTAAATTTTAATCTTTTAACGACAACAACTCATTTAAATTTTAATTTTTAATAATAATAATTCAATCTATATTTTTATCTTGTAACTAAATAACTCATTTAAATTTTAACTTTTAAATATAGTAACTAAACCTGTACTTTAAAAAATTATAATAATAAAATATAACCCCTAATTTTAGCCACTTAAACTCTTCATTTAAAAACACTACAACGGCTCATATAGTCCAGATCTAACGTTTTATATTACATTTTAATTTTTTAAATATAGTAACTTATGTAAATTTTAATTTTTAAAATCTTAAGTACAGTAACTTATTTAAATTTTAACTTTTTAACTGTAGTAATTCAATCTATATTTTAACCTTTTACTCAAGTAACTCATTTAAATTTTAACTTTTAACCATAATAACTCAACTCATGTATTTAAAAAAAAACATGTTTTGCGCGAGACAAGCTAGTGTAGCAATATTAATTTGAATTGCTTATGCTCATAAATTAGAAAAGTATAACAACAACTCAAATTGTTTAGATCCGATAGTTTATATTATATTTTAATTTGTTAAATACAGTAACTCATTTAAATTTAAATTTTTAACTTTTTAATCATGATAACTCATTTAAATTTTAATCACAGTGACCCATTTAAATTTTAACTTTTTAACCATAATAATTCAATCTATATTTTAGCCTTTAACCAAGTAGCTCATTTAAATGTTAACTTTTAAGCACAGTAACTCAACACATGTAATAAAAAATTATAATAATAAAAGAAAGTCTCTTGCTTAAACTCCTCACTTACAAAAGTAAAAACAACGGTCCAGATCTTTAAAATTTGGCAGTTTATATTATATTTTAATTTTTTAAGCAAAGCAACTCATTTAAATTTTAATTTTTAACCTTTTAATCACGATAATTCATTTTAATTTTAACTTCTAACCTTTTAACCACAATAATTTATTTAAATTTTAACTATTTAATATAGTAATTCAATTTATATTTGAAAAAATTTCATCCACACCCCCTACAGATAGGCCTAATTTAAGTGACACCCCTTCTCGATTTTGAAATTTCACTGACACCCCTTGTCAATCTTGGTCGGGAAACGAACGTGACAAAAATGCTTACCCATTCTCACCTCTTTCGCCACCGTCGTCATCCGATGACTGACACCCTCATCACATCACCTCCACTCTCTTTCTTTCCCCCCCCCCCTCTCTCTCTCTCTTTCTCTCCACAAACCCCTTCCATCCGTGTCGAGATAGGAACAAAAATATATCAAATTGATTTGGGCGTTTTGTGATGGGTGTTGATGCAAGGGTTGTGGTGGTGGTTATGTGAAAGCTGATTGTCAACGATGCGTGTGCTGGAGTGTTAATATGGGGTGGCTAGCCAGTACTTGTTAATATTGTTAGAGATGGGCTGGAGTGTTCATGGCCCTATTTTGGATTTTTGGTGAAGATCAAGGAGATTTTGGGGAGAATGAATTCCCTGCTTTTTCATGTGTATAGAGAAGCGAATGGGGTGACTGATAGCTTGGCTAACAGGGCTGTAAGGGATCATTGTTCTTCAGATTTTTCTTGCTTTAGATCTTTGCTGAAGATGGTAATTTTTTTTTGACTCAACTATTGTGTATAGGGTTGATGTTGCTACCTTAATTGTCTGAAGTAGAATTTCACAAATATGAAGTACTGAGGAATTGTGAACTTACTTTTATTGAATTTGATTTGACTGCAGCTCTATGAAGACGATGTATGCCTTTGCCTATTGGATAGAAATCCACTAAGTCATGGGTAAGGAATCATGTTAAGGGTTCGATTAAACTCTGTTGAGGTGCCCTTGTTCTTTCAATGTTGGGTATTCACAGTTTATCTCCAAAATCTATTGAAATAATGCAATACTGGGTCAGAAAGATAGTCGTGTGAGTGCAAGGTCTTGCTTTGGAAGTAGAGTTTTTATTTTTTGATAGTTTTGAAGGATTAAAGCATGGTGTGTATAGGGATTTTTCTTTTTGTTTCTTGTAATTCTTTGGTTATTTCAAATAAATTTTTTTGATTTTTTTAAAAAAAGAATTTGTTGTATATTTGTTTAGCTGGTTAGAGGTGGTGTCGAGGTGCTGGTGTTGCGGAGACGAAGGTGCATCAGAAGTGGTGTGAATAAGAAAAAGGTAAAATTGGTATTTTAGAAGAAAAACAAGATGACATCATCACTTTTTTAGTTGTCAGTAACGGTTTGTCGTGGTAGGGGATGTAGTTGAAATAAATATATGAATTATAAGGGAGTGCAGTGAAATTTCATAATCGGGAAAGGGTGTCACTGAAGTTAGGCCTATCTACAAGGGGTGTGGATAAAAGTTTTCCTTTATATTTTAACTTTTTACCCAAGTAACTCATTTAAATTTTTTTATTTAATCGTAGTAACTCAACCCATGCTTTGCACGGGACATGAGACACACTAGTGTAGCAATAGCTGAACTAATCTGTCCAGACTTTCTCTTGATTCCTGGTTTATCAATCGTTCTCGGCTATGTACGTCCCTTGCCCTGTTCCTTCTTCTTTTCTTTCGTTCTGGATCCCTCGAGTTCGAGATGATTATTTAATTTCTAGACTTTTTAGCTTTTGTTACTTTAGGAATCGAGGTCTTACCTTGTCCTCTCCACTACCAGAATCTTCGTTTTTGGTTGTTGGTGTCTTGACCACTGGGCCCTTAAGGATTGCTTTACTCGTGTTCCCCTTCTTTATAGTTCTTTCAAACTTCCTTTCTCTTGCCTAATTATGTCTGCCTCTTCTGGAGCTACAGCCTCGTATGTTTCCCTCATGGGTGATAGGTCCCCAGATGTAGAGGAGGATGACTTGGGGGATGTTGGTGATGAAATAGAAAATTTTTTTGGGGTTGATGTCGTAGAGGGGCAGAGTTGTCTCTGACCATACCAGGGTCTCCTTCGAGTTCTAAACGATCTCAAAAAGGAAAGGCCAAAAGGATAGAGCTAGACTTTCAGGTAGTGCTGAGGGTTTTGGACCCTTTCCTCACATTTCAGACCTCATTGGACATAGTGAGGTTATGCCTCCTCTTATGAGTGTCTTGTTCACAAGGTTTGGTTTTTCCAATGGCATGCGTTACTGGATTCCTTCTGTAGGTATTAAGTATGATTCTGAGGTCCCTGGGAAGGCTTGTTTTTTTAACCTCTTTAGAGAATGGGCTTAAGTTTCCTGTACATCCCTTCATCAAATCTATCCTTCAACATCTGTTTTGGTTAGATCTCTCCCAACTTCTAGGGAGTCTTACTGGGCCTCCTTGTCTTTTTCAAAAAAAAAAAATCAGCACCCCTTCGGTTCCCTTGCTCATGAAATTTTTCAACGTTAAGTTCCAACCTGATGGATTTTTGTACATCTCAAAACGGGTGAAGACCCCAGCTTCGATTACTGACATGCCCAGCTCTCACAAGAATTGGAAGAAACTATTCTTCTTTGTATCAGAGGAGTGGGAGTTTGATCTGAGCAATGCCAATGATACCCTTCTTGTCCCACGCTCTTGGTCAGGTCCTGATAACCTTGGTGAGTCCTTATTTAGGGCAGGCTCAACTTTCTTCATTTTATTTTTCTTTTTGCTGACCTTATTCCCTTGGGTTGCTTTAGGTATCCACCCTGAGTTAGGAGCTGAGGATAGGCTTGCTTTGCTAGGGCATGAAGTTGGTCGCCCGAAGAAGTATTCTAACTTGATCAAGCATTATGTGCTTACCAAGCCAGGGTTCAGCCCTCCCGAGGTGACTATAGAGACTCCTATTCCCATTTTTGTTGCTGATGTGAAGGAGGTTGCAGGTAACTCTTTCTCCCTTCTATCCTTAACTTTTATTTTACTTATTCCTCCTTTCTGATCTGTTTGCTTTGGGTTTCTAGGTTCTTGCTCAATTGCTTTAGGTGCGAAAGCTTTGAAGGCGAAGGTTGCCCTGTTAAGGAAGAATACGAGTGGGAAAAAGTGCAAGGTAGAAGTTGGATTAGGAAGCAACTCTTCCCCTCTTGACAAAGTGCAGAGGACAGAGGTGCCCCCTGCTTCTTCCACCCTCCCAAGTGGTTTCTACTCCTCCACCGAGCTCATCGAAGGTCGCACGGATCTTAGTCTCCCAAGAGACCTTACCTTCCTCTACTGAAGGAGTTCTTGAGCAAGCTAGGGCTTCAACATCCCCTTCGTTGGTAGAGGTCGAGGGGGACTTTTGAGTCAATTACCCATATCATGCGTGGGTCTCCTGCTGGTGGAGGATGTGAAGATTGAGAAAGGCAAGGGTTCACTTATCGATAATACGAGGCTTACTACTAAGGCCATCGCCTCGATAATTCTTGAGTCCAACATCTAGAAGGTTGCCGCAATGCCCTTCTCCTTTTGTGTTACTACCTCCTTGTATGGTGCTACTTCGATAAGCTTCTATTTCTCCAAGTTTCATCCTGCATGGTTACTTCATACTGATTCTAGCCTTTGGTTGTATTTTCCTCAAGCTAGCCATTCATGTGAGCACTCTGACAAGTAGGATTAGGACTTTGGAGGGCTCAGTCAAAGCATTGAAGGCTTCTGAGCTCAAGGTTGTCGAGTTGGCTTTCTCTAATGATGACCTCAAGGCTCAGGTGCAGGACCTATAAGCACAGGTAGAGAGGTTGTCTTTTGCTAATAAGGATCTGGAGGCTGAAAAAGGAAAAACTGAGGACGAGGTCAAGAAGACCAAGGAAGAGCTCAGGTTGAAATCTGGCGAATGGGTTCAAACTCGCAAAGAAGACTTCAAGGCTTTTGAGTCTTATGAGGCCATGAAGAGAGAATACAACATCTTGGCTAAAGTAAACGACACTCTGCGGAGAGAGATTGAGGTTGAGAGAACTGTCTTTAAAAAGAAGGATGCTCTGATTGCGAAGTTGGAGGATGAAGCTACCACAAAGTGGGCCACTAGGTATCTTGCTTTCTAAGATCAAGCTATGCAGAAGTATCCAGACCTGGATTTTGAATTTGATCCCCCTTCGGATAAGGAAGAGGTGCCAAGCATTGAGAAAGAGGCTGAGGTTAGGTCCCCTCTACTTCTAAGCTTGCTCCCAAAGGTGCTGAGGTATTTGTCTCTTCAACCAAGGTCCTTGCCACGTGGTTTCGTCTGCTCCAATTGTCTCTGTAGCTATTGATCCTATTCTAACTTCTGTTTCCAGGATTGCTGAGTTGTTTATTGTTCCTAATGAACCTACTCTAACTGATGCTCCCGAGGCTCCTGTGTCGTCTGAGGCTCCAACTGACCCTGCTCCAACAGATGCTCCCCAAATTTCTGAGCTACATGAGGCTCCAGTTGTCCGTGTTTCAACTGATGCTCCCAAGGTTCTTGAGATGTCTGAGGCTCCAGCTGACCAGACTGTAGGGATTTAAGATTCCTCTTTTATTTTGTTTCCTTTCTTGTAGATGGCTCTATAACTGTTTATTTTGAGAAATGAGAAAATGTTTTGTCCAATGTTCTTGAATTTTTGCTATTAAATTGATGTAGTTATGATTGTTGTATTGTGCTCTTGCATTCTTTGTGCACTAGTATTCTTTTTGTGCTCTTGTATTCTTTCTATTCTCTTGTATTCTTTTTAGTTTTTTGCATTCTTTCTATTCTCTTGTATTATTTCTATTCCCCTCTGCCCCTTGCTTCGGGGAGAATTTAGTTCTTTTTGAAGTATGAGGCCAAATTAATTAGGTCAAGAGTCCGCCCTTGGTTTAAGCCGAGGTGCTAGCTAGAAAGATCTTGTGGTTTGAAGAGCTCACTTTCTAGTGAACTGAAGAGACCATCCCTGTGAGTTGAAGAGCTCTGCTTATGTTAGGCTGAAGAGCTCTACCTAGTGAGCTGAGTTGCTTGTGAACTAAGTCACTTGTTCCTGAGCTCTACCTAGTCTGAGCTAAGCTTAACAGAGTTAAGTTGCTCCTTTAGCATGAAGCACTGACTTTTTTATCATTATATGTGCCCACCCACCCACTTTCTTAAAACACCTCCACCATCATGATTTTGGAAGTTTAAGGAGCCATCTCCTCGTCTTCGCGAGTTTCTTGCTTCCTTAAAACTCAGGATTTTCTTATTGTTTCCATAAAACTTGGGATTTCTTATTGCCTTCAAATCTTGGAATTTCTTCTTGCCTAAAATCTTGGAGTTTTCTTCTTCATGTTTCGCATGCTCCCCGAGTCTTTTTTTTTTTTTTTTTTGTGTTCTCTATCTCTTTTCTGATTTTCATGGCTTCCTCTCTTACTCCCTTGTTCAAATAATGAGCCCAAGCCACGATTGGCATGACGTGGCATTCTAACTTCTTGCTTCCTTTTGTGGTTACCGCTATAAAGTTAAAAGAAATCAAGAGGCAATACCTTCTTCCTACTAACTTACTCCTCTAAGTCTAAACTTCTGATGAGCCCTGCAACTTTCTCCCCCAACCAGAAATTTACTTTTTTGAAGGCGTTTCTAGATGGGTCCTCATCTACCCATCCATCCTTCCATTGGGTGGATTCTTACTTTCTTTGGGTTGTGCCCCTCTCGTCTTTCTCCTAAAGGATTGGGTGCTATGATCAGCTTCTTTATTTTTTGGTGCCTACAAGGCAACAGTGAATTTCCTACTATTGTTGAGTTTCTCTACTTTTACGAACTTGACTACGACACATTTCCCTACTTTAGTTATTTCAGATGGAGGTGCCACTTCGACTCTCCGCTCATCCTCGATGCTCCCAACTCTCCTGAAGGATGCATCCAGTGCTTTTTCTTTGCCTCTGGGGATTGTTGGAGGTCTGTTGAACAGCGACGCTCTCGTTCTCGGGTCCCTCGCTCTTGAGGGTGCTTCTCGCACAGAGGTAGTGGCTTAGGATCAGTTCTGTTATAAATATGGTGATTGGTTCTTATTGTGCTTTTTCTGTGCAGGTGCCCCTAATCAAACCCCGGCAGAGCTGGTGAGGGTCAGCTAAGTGACTCATGTTGAGGCAGTTCCTTTCTTCTTGCTTGTCACTCCGTAAAACATTCATTGGTTTGGAGCTTCTGCTGCTACTTTGGATGCTATCTTACACCTTCTGTCTCCCATTCTTGATATAGATTCCTCTTCTACTGAGTTAGATGAGGAAGAGGATGTTGCCACTTCTTTGAGGAAATGTAGGAGGAGTGGTTTCTCAACTCAGTCGTTTGGTTCCCCTTTTGATGGTATTTTATTTTCTGCTACTGAGTTGAAGCTTTCGGAGTTACTCACAAAAGTGGAGAAAGAACGTGACGAGCTGAAGGAAGAGAATGCATGCCTGCAAGCTGTGAATGCTCGTTTGGAAGAGGAAATATTTGAGTTGAAGAGTAGACCTGGAGGGGGCTTAGGGCTTTTTCCTTTTCTTTTCGTTGTACTCCATCGTGTTGATGAATAAAAATCTCTTTTTTCTGCCTTGCAATTTTACTCTGTTGGCTGCCATGTTTATGAGCTGTAGAGCTCGTCTTTTATGAGCTAAGGAGCCTATTGCTCGCTTGTGAGTTGAAGGTCCCATCGTTCATATACGGGCTGAAGAGATTATTGTTTATTTATGAGCTAGATAGCTCATCATTTATTTATGAGCTAAAGAGCTCATCGTTTGTATATGAGCTAAAGAGCTCATTATTTTTTTATGAGTTGTATAGCTCATAGTTTGTTTATGAGCTAAAAAGCTCATTGCTTGTTTATGAGCTAGAGAGCTTATCTTGCCTTCATGAGTTGAAAAACTCATCCTATATTTATTAGCTAGAGAGCTCATCTTTTAGCTTTAAGCAACTAGTGAAATGCTTGATTGAGATGTAATCTTGTCATTTTATTGATGACAACCTTCTTACAAGAGTTTACTGAAAAAAAGTTTTCAAATATTGTTCTGCATTCCAAGATTGGCGTAAGACTTTCCTTTCTTCTGTTTGCAACTTGTATTTCCCAGGTCTGATTACCTTAGAGATGATGTAAGGACCTTCCCAATTGGGTCCTAGCTTTCCATGAGTGGGGTATTTTCTCGCAAGAAGCTTTTTTGAGTACCAGGTCCCTGGCTTTGAGGCTTCTGTGTTTGACCCTCTTGTTGTAGTATCTTTTTATTCTTCTTTGGTAACTCATAATGCATTGTAAGGCCTTGTCCCTCTTTTCATCCAAGAGATTGAGGTTAAGCAGGAATGACTCATCGTTGTGCTCGAGATCTGAGAGCTCCACCTTGGGGGATGGAATATCGACCTTTACAGGTGCCACTGCCTCAGTTCTGAAAGCTAAAGCGAATGGTGTTTCCTGAGTTGTTGTCTTCTCTATGGTTCTGTAAGCCCACAACACCTCTAGGACGTGCTCCACCCATTTCCCTTTTAATGCTTCAAGCTTAGTCTTTAGAGCCATTTTTATGGTTCGAATAGTCATTTCTGCTTGCACGTTCAATTGAGGATGAGCTGGAGCAGAGAAGTAATTTTTTATTCCTAGCTCGGCACATAACTTCTTGAACTTGGAATTGTCAAATTTCTTCCCATTGTTCGAGAGGATTGCTCTAGGTATTCCAAACCTGCAGATTATGGATCTCTAGGTGAAGTTTTGGACTTTTTGCTTTGTAATTGTCGCCAATGGCTCCTTCTCTACCCATTTGGTGAAGTAATCTACCCCAATAATGGCGAACTTACATTGTCCAGTACTAGTGGGAAGAGGCCCACATATGTCTAGCCCCCATTGTTGGAAGGGCCAGGGGCTTACCACCGAGGTAAGGAGATCTAGGGGGCAATACGGGACGTTGGTGTGCAACTGGCAGACCTTGCACCTTTTAACCAAGTCTACAGCATCTTTGAGCAGAGTGGGCCAGAAGTATCCTTGCCTCAGCATTTTTTCTATTAGAGCTTGAGCTCCGATATGATTACCACAAATGCCTTTGTGGATTTCCCTTAGGATGTAATTAGAATCCTTGTCTCCTACACATTTAAGAAGAGGTGTTGAAAAGCCTCGCTTATACAAGTTTCCTTGCAAGATTGTGAATCTGGATGACCTGTCTCTTAGCTTCATGGATTCTTTGGGATTTGCTGGCAAAGTTCCATCTTAAAGGTATTCTCTGATTGGGCCCATCCAGCTCAGCTGGGCTAATAAAGGGAACATTTATTTGTCTTCATGGCTTACGGATGGTTTAGCTAGGTGCTCTATTGGGATTAACCTATACAGGCTCTCTTGAGAGGTAGTTGCAAGCCTTGCTAAAGCGTCTGCTCGAGAATTCTTAGTTTTGGGGACATGCTTAATTTTGACTTGTATGAATTTCCTTACTAGTTCCCACACTTTTTTTAGGTATAGGATCATCCACTCTCCCCTAGCCTCATAGGTCTCTTATATTTGTTTTACAACAAGCTAGAAGTCACTACGAATTTCGAACTGTTCTACCTCTATTGATTGGGTCAGATTGAGTCCAGCAATGACAGCTTCACATTTTGCTTCGTTGTTTGAAGCATTTAATTCGAATATGGGGGCATACTCGACATCGATTCCATCAGGGGAGGTCGAAATCAACCTGGCACAGCTTCCGTGGGCGTTGGCAGCTCCATTACTAAAAGCTTTCATGTGGGGGGTTGGGTATTAGCTGAGTTACCTCCATAGGTGTTTCTATGGTTGTAGTGAATTTTGCGATAAAATCTGCCAATATTTTCCCTTTGATTGTGATTCTGGGTTTGTACGTGATATCGAACTCACTGAGCTCTATGACCCATTTGACTAGCCTTCTTGAAGATTCTGGTTTATGCAGCACCTGCTTCATTGGCCAGTTCATTGGGACCTCAATGGTGTGAGCTTGAAAGTATGGTCTAAGCCTTTTTGCTGTCGTAGCTAGAGTTAGGACTAGTTTCTCCATCTTTGGTTATCTCTCATCTGCCCCATCAGAGCTCTACTACAGTAGTAAACTGGTTGCTGAGTTCTGTCTTGCTCTCTTACTAGCGCTGCGCTAGTTAAGAAATCTGAAACAATGAGGTAGAGGGTGAGCACTTCCTTCTCCAAAGGACTTACCAGAACTGAGGGTGAGCTTAGATAATCTTTATGGTCTCTTAATGCTTATTCGCATCGGGTATCCCATTAGAACGACTTTTTTAAGGTTTGAAAGAAGGACTGACACTTGTCGCTTGATCTGGAGACAAAGCGACTTAGGGCTGCTATCCTTCTTGTTAAGTGTTGGACCTCCCTCATGTTGGTTGGTGGTTGCATGTCTATCACTGCTTTGAATTTTTTTGCGTTTGCCTCAATTTCCCTACTGTTGACTATGAAACCCAAGAACTTCCTAGCAGAGATCCCAAAGGCACATTTGACAGGGTTAAGCTTCATCTAGTATTCCTTGAGGACCTGGAAAGATTCTTCAAGATGCCCAATATGGAGCTCGACTGTTAGTGATTTTACCAGCATCTCATCGATGTACACCTCCAT